GCATTAGGAAATTTATTTAATAATGAAATTTTCACTTCATATTTTCATTTTAAAATAAGCCCATTGTATCGCTCTCGCTTGATACGTTACCTAAATAGCGAGCTACTTTAAATGACGCAAATGCTTAAAATTATTACCACGTCTATGAACTCTTATTTCCTCGTGTAAATGCAAGCCCTACTTTTCTTCGATCGTTGTCGAAAGTACTTTTGAGAAGTAACGTGCACGATGGTTTACATGGGACAGGAGGCAATGGTGAAACTGTCTTGGGGTCACGCTCCGGTCACTGACCAGCCCATCCGTAACGTAACGTTGCGCTCGCTCTCTTTCTTCTCTCCCGTGGAAGTTTAGTTTGCTTTGCTTGCCCTCTGACAGATTTCAGGGCCTCCTTTCGCTTCGACTCACAGCGGTCGTTTCACCATCTTTACTCTCCGTTTAATGCTCGCAAATTGAATCTAAGAAGCTTCGCAAACTTTTCAGTGAAACTCTTCATTAAGAGAATAACTGTTTAACGTCGTTATAAATATTTATATCGATATCGCATCGTCTTGAGATAGAGGGATCGTCGAACGATTTAGAATTTTGTTCAAACGGATTGTATGTATTTGCGAATTGAATGGAAAATTCTTTTGAATTCTGTTTCAGCCGATGAACAATGGTGGGAGATAGGAGGCTCGAGTGGCTCTCGACGAGAAAGAAGAGAACGGGAGAAAGTACATAGGATGGAGGAGAAGAAGAAGAGGACGAAGAAGCAAAAGGGGAAGACTCGCAGCCAGAAGAACCTTGATTCCTTGGCTCTCTTCGCTCTTTCCGTCTACTTCACTCATCTTTTTCTATTCCCTTTCACTTTCTTCCCTCACTTCATGGGTGCTCATCCCTGTAAGCTTCTATCTAATCCTTTGACGGCAGCCATGCTGCACCAACGCCGATCATATCTACTCTATTATTGAAAATCTTCAATTTATTGCTAAGAAGAAAGAATATCCGTATTTATTATTCATATAAGATCCATTTTTTAATTGCTTCAATATTTTAGTTATTTACTGTTGAATGACAAAACGTTCGAAATTAAGAATTGAATTATTTTACAAAAATCCATGAAAAATTACATCTCTTAGTAAATGACCAAATGAGAACGTGTTAACACGGGATATGGGAAATCTGATAGAGAATTGAAGCCGTGTTAACACGGCTACGATCCTTTTCTATTTTTCAGGAAGGAGGGGGAGGAGAACGACGAGGAAGGAGTGAATAATGGGCACGGGAAATCGAAGATTGAAAGTTACGAGCGGGCCTGACTCTTTGCTCGGCCCGTACCCCATTTTTTAATCCTGGGTGAGCAAAGTTTCAGGTGTGTCCGTGACTAGCTGTCATCGTTGCACTGTTCATCTTGTATCATCAAGCAATGTATTTATCAGTAACGAGAAAGACGTTTATTTAAGTATTACGATCTGAATTATTGATCAAACTCTTACTTCACAATTATTAGAAAAATGTGTCGATTGCTCTTATATAATACATGGTTCTTCATATTTACGCGACGATACTCCGACGCCTGAAATTTGCTTTTTACCTGGCTCTACTTGCCATCTCGATTTATGATAGTAAAGGTGAGCAAAGTTTCAGGTGTGTGAGTGCGTTCGTATCAACTGAGTTAATCGCAACAATTATTATATTTAATTAAGAAAATTATATTGGATTCACTGTAATGTAAGAAATAAAATTATACATACATCTGTATCAAATCATTCTAAGTGATATTTTAATAAATCCTGTCTTGAGAATATATTAATCTCATTTAGCTAATATGGACAATGTAAATAGCAGACACACACACACACACACTTCTACGGTTTTATTTTATTTCCTGGGGATCAAAATATACTTCGATCGCGTGCAGAATAACTTGATGATATATGTATAAAATTATGTTGTACTTTTATAATAAACCTGAGCTAATAATAAACCTTTAACAGACCCTTTCCTAAACCTTTATGATATTTATGCCTCGAATAGAATAACGATATGCAGTATATATTTAATATAGTACGTACGAATATGTAAGAAGAAAATTGTTACACGTATGTGTACAATTACATTATTGATGTAATTAATGACGTTAGATATTAAATTATTACTAACTCTAACTCTTGCGATTAGAAAAATGGTTAAGAAACAATAAATCAAGTTGGAGACGATATCTCGTTCCCTGTCAGATTAATAAAATTTCCTTTCCTATCCATCTATAAATCAATATCAGAGCGGTTTTCAAGCCGATGTAATTGAGAATGTAATTTCACACCTGGGCGTAAATAAAAAGTGCGTATAGATAAAATCTCCAGCTGCAATTAATTATAGAGTATGACAATCACAAGTAAAATCGCTCGATGATAATATTAAATAATAAGAGTAATTTAAACAATTGATTTTATTGACAGTAACATATACTTTTAAAACATGAACATTTATGCGAATTAATTTTATTCAAAGATTTCTTGCTTCGGTACTACATAAAATTGTTAATTAAAGTGAACTCATAATTAAATTCATTATATAGCAGACGGCAAGCGAAAGTAATTAATATTCTCATCAAAGTCAATCCAGGATTAAATTAATTTTTAGACAATAAATACTTTCGTTCGCGACTGTTACAGAACTTATGAAACTGCTGTACTCGGAATTCGGACGGAAATAAGCTTCGTTGGCTAACGACATAACTTTATATTTCTAAGAATGGAATTCCAAGTGAGGAATTCAAGAGAGTATTGGTTCCTAGTCCAGGTTTGGAGTCCAGTTGAAATCTGCCTCGTTCTGTAAATTGCTGAAGAAATCCATTACATTTTATCTTAACAAAAAGCTAAAATTTCTTATTGGTCCTCCTATAATATATTTTTTAGGGGAGAGTATGATTCAGATTTCTGAGAGTAGATTTTAGACTTTGGAACTATCTTACTGAAGTCATCATCGACCGCAACGAAAATAATTTCTTAAAACTATTAAAGACAGCCAGGCAGTAAATATTATACTGACAATGAGTAGTTGGTCATCCAACAGAATATGAAATATTTTTTAGTATTTAGCAATCGCATCTTAGAGAACGAATTTCATTTCTTGTACATCCATTTAATGAAATCGATCAAAGATAATGAAAAGACAGAAGAATCTTGAAGTCAAACGTTATTACAAGAATTTTCTCTGATTCCTTGTAAAGTTATTAATAAATCAAATTTAAAGAAGGAAAGCAAGACGAAATTTTATAGATACTATCTCCTTGATAACGCAGCGTTGAATGAGGAACAGGAGAGGAGAGGAGAGGAGACACAGTTGGGTGAGATCAGGTTGAACAAGAATAGATTTCGAAAGTTCCTAGATAGGAATATACGCTCTGCACGTTGGTAATGTCGATGTTCATGTCTCGTGGATCGTTCATTCATTTATTTCAGTTCCCTGCATTTATTTTGGTACGGTATTTTGCGCAGTACGAATCGATGTACTTCGATGTACGAGTGACTGCGGAGTGCCGTATGAGACAGTTCGAACTGTTGTAAATTAAATAATTACGTACTTCCCATGTAGTAACCGTGATTATTATTAAACCAACATTTGGCGAAACTGTGCGACACTTGTGCTCTTGGGTAACATTAAATCTAAGTAGTAAGTATGGATGACAATTTGTTAAATATATTTTCAATTGACAACCCTAGAACTTAATGTTTGCGTCATGACCTTTCGTCGCAGTGTCATTCTATAAAAACATTGATAATGTAGGGTGATTCATTTGCAATAAACGATAATTTCATAACAATGATGCAAGATGACGAGAATGTAATTATTTTCAGTGTGACTAAACAGTTGACAGTAGACAGAAGAACGACGAAGAATCTGAATAATGGAGTCCGAGAAAAATAAGCCGTCGTCCAGTGGTCATCAGGATTCACTGGGATTTTTTAGCTCAAAATTTAGCTCCATGGAACCTGAAAGCCATTTAGAAAGTCTTGGTCTGACAGTCAATAATGGAAAGGCTAGATTCAAGTTGAACGAAGATGCACCCTTGTACACCAGTCAAACTGTACCTCACTGTACCGAAGACGACGACGACGAAATGTCTTTCGTGGTGTTAGGCACAAACTCGATGGAAACGATTCAACAGTCATCACTAGCATCTTACGTTAATATACAGGAGAAATGCATGTCCACAGTAAGTGTCCATCGAGCAATCTTTGAATTTGGTTGATTAACATGGAATTAATGAAGTAAAAAATCGACAGGATTACAATTCGATTGTATCTAGTTTGGAAGCATCGGAAATAAATCAGAAGCTGAGCGAGTTGTTACAAGAAAATGCAAAATTGAAAGAAGCACTGAAACAAAATAATGTAGCCATGAAACAGCAGTTCAACACTTTGGCGAAGTGGCAAGAGGAGATAATGCAGGTCCATCAGAATCATAAAAAGAAGTTCTCAGAAACGAGGGAGTTGATTAATTATTTAAAAAAGGAAAATCAAGAACTGAAACTGAAGTTCACCATGGAATTGGAACAAGGGGTAAGGCGAGAACGTTGTGTTTATTGAAACGATATTTAGCTTAATGCTGTTTCTTTTTAACAGAACGTGGATTTAAATGAAGAGAAGAAGAACGAGAAGCATGAAAAGGAATTGACATCGACAAAATTGACCAGCCCATCTTTGAGCGATCTGGAAGTCATGTTAAACGAGGCGATTACTACTGAAAATAATGACGAGCCATTAGAGCAAAGTTCTACTTTGAAGATAAAACAAGATCAAAACTTATCTATGAACAAGACATCTGAACAAGCTTCGACTAATGACGAAATATCAGAACAACCGTCGACTAATGACGAAATATCAGAACAACCGTCGACTAGTAACGAGAGGCTAGAGCGATCTTTGACCATTAATAAAACACAAGAAAAACCGTCGACTAGCATCGAGAGCACAGTACAAGCTTCTATTTCGATTGATAAGGCAGTGGAAAAGTTAAAGGAGTTAAATATCAACTCTATCGAAACTATAAAAAAACTTGATAATTCAGAGAGACAAAATGTAAATGGCATGGATTTAATAGAAGGAGTAAGTTTAGATTTGGATAAAATGAAAGCGTTCATAGAGGAAGAGAAAAGACAATTAGAAATTCGCAAACAAAATTTACAGCTTGAATATGAATATTTGCACTGTGCTAAACAGTCGTTGGAAGAGGAGAGATCGAGTTTAGAACAAAAGCAATTGTCTTTGGATCAACAGGGTTATTTGTATGAGATGTATTCAGAAATTGCGATGAACGATGAGAAGAAATTCAGTGATAAATGCGAGGAAATGACTAAAGAAATTAAGGTGTTGCACGATACTATAGAGAGGAAAGAAGATTGTATAAAACGTTTAGAGGACGAGTTGTCGTTACAGGTGAATAATACAAGTTTTTTTTAAATACCCTGATGTTTGTTCGAAACTTATTTGAAATCGTCACAGAAAGAAGAGATCGACTTGCTGGGAACACAAGTAAAGATCTACGAGGAAGACTTCAAGCAGGAAAAAAGGCTGAAAGAACAATTGCTGGAAGAGAGGACTACATTGAACGAGGCTTTACAGGCACAGATAAAATTCAATGAAAAACTTCGTTACAGGCTTATGCAGGCGCTCCCGAACGGAGGAGAAATAGTAAGTTTCTACTCGTACTTCCGTTTATTAATAATTTTAACAATTGTTATTAATTGCAGGATGATATAGAGCTGGAGCGGCCTTTGATCTCTGCCTATCTGTGTCCCATATGTAATTCGTACTTCCGAAGCGTTGAAACGTTAGAACGTCACGTTAGCGATTGTTTAAAATGATGTGAGAGTCTCGAATATTTTAATTACTCTTTATTCATATAATTAAAAAGTGACATAAATAAAATAACAACCCGGTTTTCTTTTAATTGTAATGAACAAATTTTTTTATATTGTTAAAAAGTTCATTAAACGAACGTCGATGAAAGCGATCTTAATAATGACATTATTCCTATGCGTAGTAATTCATATATAGGGACAATTGCGAAGAACAGAAGAATCATGTTTCTTTTATGTTTACTATTCGTTCGTTCTATTGATTTTATTTAAAATTCGTAAAAACACTTTATATTCTCTACCAATTTTTATTTCAATGGTCTTTTTACATATGTACACTTAGCAAATAAATAAACAAATTTATTTTTTCCCTGCCAATGACGTATGGCCGAGTCTATGTTGAAACAATGTTATAATATTGTCTAATATAATGATAGAGTATAGTACGTATCACGTACGTATAATTGAAAAGCATGAATTCAATGTTACTGTATAGAAGTCGTAAATATAAGATGATAAATAAATTACTTAAAGACAAATATTTGATTTTAAAGTATATTATTCTTTATATTTTATGGATCAGTTCTAAAACACAATTGTATTGCCTTCCCTATTTTTACTCATACTTTCATAGAAATAACATAATTCGTGATTTCTATTATTCAATTACTTAATCCATACATGACAATTGCGTGAAAAACGAACGCACGTCTCGTACCTATATTTGTCTTTTTTTTTTAAACATCTATATGTCTTATTAATGAACTATACTAAATAGAAATGTGTGATATGGAAATGCAAAATTACTAAATTCAATACATCATAAATTAAATCCGTTCGAGTCGAGGAAATGTTTTCTATCTGCCAACGGCCTACGGAAACTGTGAAGAAACCTAATACATCAACCGAAAGGTAATTCTTCTAATTATTCAACTGATTATGATGATTCATTAATCGTTTTGGTTAATTAACAAATTTTTAGGGACGAGACAGACGGGACATTAAAGGTGGTGGGCGAGGCTCGCACGAAAACGAGGAAGGTCATTAACAGGAGGGCGGATTTGAAACGTGTTTTTGAACTGGAACATATTGAAATTGAGAGTATTTTGCGATCAATGGGATATGCGTTTATTCCTATGCACCCTTGATTACAATTTTATTAATTTATACATGCAATAGTACAGTTAAGATCATTAAATAAAATTACGTTCTGTTGAAATAAAATTTGTTCCCTAAATAAGTATAATAATGTAATATGAATGAATACAATATACAGGGTGTTATCCAGATTGGTACAACCGGATAGTCGATAGAATTTTCATAGCTCTTCGAAAAACAGTTACCCCTTTTTTCCCCGGGAGAATCATCCCCAACCCGGTCGTACCACCCATCCAGATGCATTCTATATAGAATCCTCTTAATTACTCTATAATTCGTGGATCATATATAGTCAATAGCTATTAAACTCAATGAAACGAATTTCACGGTTAAACGCCGGCACGTCTCATGGTTTTTGTCCGCCAAGATACATCACTGTGGCTGCTGCACACCTGTTGCCCCTTGAAAAGAGAACATTTGGATGGATACGTCATTGGGGCCCCGATCGAGCGGCTTCATCACCTGTTAGCATACGTACCTCACGTGCCAGTGTACTGTACGAGGTATCCAGTACCGATACCGAATGTTGCCATGAAATATGTTAATTTAAAAATGTTTCAATAACTAATCATAACATTTTTATGTCAATATTGTAATGGCAATACGAGAACTCGAATTAGACTTCGCAAATTTAATTACACGTCCGGTGAGTTAAGAAGAGTACAAGGAAATCTCGTATTATTAATCATAGAATAAAACGTATACTCATTAATTCTTATCCCCATTTTCCCTAATTAAAATAGCCAAATTCGCGAACCGTCGTGTCATACATTTATTCTATTTAAATGTTAGAGAAAGTGAGCCCGAAAACGTATTGTTCCCCTACTGTTACGTAGACAGTTATCAACGAATACAATGCGTTTTATGCATTCGCACGATTCCGAGATAATGTTTAATTGCCAGCCGATTTTTAGATTTAACAATAGAGCGGAGTTTACGGGCCGGCGAAAGTGGTAGCACCAGGATTGCTACGTCGCTGGGGCCCCGTCCAGAGCGTTCCCTCACCTGTTGGCATACCTATCTCACGTATCAGTACTCGCCTCGCTTCTCTGTCGCGCGTTTCGGTGCTCCGTTCGCTTGAAAAAGGAATTACGTTATCGTGTCCCGTGGGACAATCTTCTTACCGAACATTTTTCACCGTTTTCACTCTTCGTTCCGCGGTGGTTCCCGATCTGCTGTGGTGAACGAATTACCTCCGTCGACGGTTTCTTCGTCGTGAAAGCGTCCGTAATGGTAAGGATCTATAGCTCTATGCGTTCTCGGATCTATCGGGTGATCGCTGAAATCGGTACCAATATGGCGGCTAGGAATTTCGTTAATCCTTTTATCCGCCACGATTTCCCGACCGCCAATTCAATCCACGCGCATTTTACTCTTATTTAAATAATAATGGAGTCTTTAAATCGCCTGCTCGTGGATTCTCTTTCACATCGAAGTACGGTCGTGTGTATGTATACAGGGTGTCTTATTTGAACAGTCAGATCTATTGTTTATTTCAATTTTTATTATACAGGAAAAATAATGTTCATAACAGTTGATGTATATATTCAATTTATATTAATTTAAAGTTTTATTATTATACTCTGTGCAGACTAACTCTCATATTAATTTTAATATATGAATCATGAATAATAAATGTACGTTTTAATTTAATAGTATTTTAACTGCTAGGTGAGGCAAAAATCATTTTATTCAGACGCACACTGTTTTCTGCTGCACGTTCCATATGAATATGTTAACGATGGGAAACGAGAAATCCAGGTTTTATATAAATCGGTGTTAATGACGGGAAATCTTGTTTTCGTCCTATACTTATAAACCAGAATATAACACAACCTGATACTGTCGAATTACTTTTCGCATGAAACTGTGACCTGAGAAATATTTAATGAATTTTTATTAATCTTGATTACGAGCAGAAATTTAGGAAGTGATATCGTATCTAAGAAAGTGTTATCTTTCAGCTGGAATGAAATTGATAGTAAGCCAGAATCCGGAAATAAATAGATCGCATCGATACGATTGAAAGTGATAAGGACGATAGTGTTTCTCCCGGTCGGCGTAAATATGATATAGATACCATTACAAGCTTGCAGGAATCATTTGAAACTATAATATTCTCTTCATCATTGAAAGGTGCCGTCGCAGTACACTTTCTATAAAACTTTCCCCGTCGTTGACACGTTTATATTGAATTTTCATATTTAATATTGTCGACGTTCAATGCTGATCTAAATTCTATTCTATGTAAATGTTTCATTTTCTTTGTTAATTTCTTGATTAATTTTTAACACTTAAATCAATGCATATCCGTAATTATTCAATTAAGCAAATATCAATCGTTTAAGTGAGTACAAATAAAAATCTAAAAGCAAATAATGCGTAAATCACGTTTTCTATTTGTATTTTCTAATTTGAACGGTTTCTCAAAAAGTACTGTTTGATCAATCCCGTGATTCACCTTACGTATACATACATATATAGATTGAAAGACTTAACGCGAGGCGTGAGTGATTTTAAAAAAGCTGTTTACACTCAAGAAGTATTGTGTAAAAAAAGAAAAAGAGCGTTTCGCCCGGAGCGAAGGCGATTGTGAGATCGCCTGGTGAGCTGGGAACGCGGTGAAACACAAAACCGAACCAGTAAGCATTGACCTGGCCAGAATGCTGCCTTATTGGTGCGTAACACTGGCCACGAACCTTATTTCACGTTACACGCATGCAGATACGCGTACACAAGCGGATCACATACTTACCTGTATACGTGCACGCGCTGATACCTGCACCGATGACATATCTTCCAACATATTCCATATATGTACATAATATACACTGATCGAGTCCCGGCCGATGCTGGCGCGTTGGCGCAAGTCGGTTTCAATTGCAATTTTTCTTTCGAAAGATTTGTGTTACACCATTGTGTTACACCAGGTAGTTTCATAAGATTTAATAAACCCGTATCGTTAACTCGAAATGAAACCAAGTATAAAAATAAATCAGTTCAATCATCAATTCTTCTTTTTATCAATCTATGAGCCTTTATGTTTTCATGTTCAGACCTAAGTACTCTGCAGTGACAATGTTAACTCAGGCTGATTTGTAATTTAATAATCTGATATTCATGTCGACTGAATTACGTATTTATTCCAAGAATAATAAGTTTCATTGGCTTAGGTACGGAATCTACGAGAAACGAGTCAGATTGCAATGAGAAGAAGAAATCGAATACTAGGATGCATATGAATGGATTAATGAACAAATGAGTAAGTTTAATCAATCGTACTATTAAGTTACGAATTTTAAAATTCACATAATTAATACAGAACATTCGTGTTGATAAAGTAATCAGGAATTATGTGAATAATCCCCATAATCGCATGTACAAAAATTCTAATTTCTGTTTGCATGTTAACGTTTCGGAATATTCACGTTTGAATACTGGTTGACAAAAGAGTTAAGCGTTTGCGAAGGGAAACAATGGCTCGTCTAGCCAGAAATGTGCGTCGCGAATTGCGTGAAAAAATAGAGATCGCCGGTGACTAGGTGTCATTTGCTGTTACATAAGACGGAACGTAACCATTCAAGGTGGGCACGATGACGTTATTGCGAAGGAGTGCCGTGCTCATCCTGTTCTTTCGTTACATACACGGTGATCGATTCATTATCGAAATGGTTATTTCGATCCATTATTCAAAATTACATTGAGAATCCGTTTGACTCCGCCTATCTAAACGTTCCAGTAAAATTTCACGATATCAGCTAATAGCATCGATCAGATAGAATCACAATTGCAATACCTGAGTACCAAGTGAAGTCCATGGACATTGATACCCACGTCAAAGTTGAATAACTCCTTTAATATCGAACTTGATGAATTAATTTTTAGAGGTGGAGAACCTTTTTACTACTAGAAGCCATATTTACATTAGGCAGTAATAAAGAAAGCCGCTATAATTTTTTATATTTCACTGTTGGTATGTTTATTTGTTTAAACATACATATATG